TAGATAGATGATAGATAGATGATAGATAGATAGATAGATAGATAGATGATAGATGATAGATAGATGATAGATAGATAGATAGATGATAGATAGATAGATAGATGATAGATAGATAGATAGATGATAGATAGATAGATAGATAGATGGTAGAGACATATAGATGAGGACAAAGACCAGGTGAAATAAGACTAGAAAATTGTTAAAATTGTTGAAAGACATCAGAAGAGGATGAATGCAATTCTTTCTACTTTTGGTCCAACTGGAAATTCACATTAAAAAGTGTTCTTCCACCCAGAAGAAAAGAAAAAAGAACATGAAGAACTATAGGGTGATTAATTTCAGTACAAGTGTTGTCTTCAATTTTAAAAATATATTTCAACCATTGATTCCAGTACATCCTGATGAGCACAGTTGTCAAAGGAGGGTTAGTTTCTGACCCATTCGGGGAACAAATTTCTCTTATCTGGAGTGATGTCTTGCCATCTAACAGGTAGATGATGTTAGTCACATCATTGAGCTTTCTGGGGATTAGGTTTCTTTATCTACGAAAAGAAGTTGTCTACCTTCCTTTGCAGGATAATACCTATGGGATGTTATAGTAAATGTTGTAGGGCTGTCCATATACAAAAGTAACATTTATTAATTTCTGATCATTGTGCATAATAACATGATCAGTTTGATAAGTTAAAGCTCCATTGGCTTTAGCTCTATGAAAGTAAGAATTATGTGCTCTTTCTTGTGGACCACCTCCTTTCTGAGGGCTTCATCAGATGCAATGTAGAGGGTGAACCACTGTTCTTCAGGGAGGTTGGCCACCACAAGCCACTCTAGCAAGATGCTATACACTGTTTGCTTGACCACTCTCAGGTCAATTAGGCATTGCCCTCTGAGGAGTTGGGAAGAGAATGGGATCCAGGCAGGGCCTGTGCAGGCTGGATGTGGACGGGGATGATGAGGGTGCTCCTGCCAATGGAGTTGGAAGCCATGCAGGTGTAATTGCCACTGTCTATCAGGTGAGCAGCTGGAATTACAAGCTGGGACAAAACAGTATCTTCTGTGGTAGATGAGACCAACACTGGGTGGAAAAACAGAAAAAATAAAACAGTTGTGCATTTTCTTGATAGACAGCAATGCTAAGCTTTGTTAAAAGTGATGACCATTTATTACGCATGCACCTAGTGTCAGGGGTCCTGTACCTAGAAACCCTATAAGGCAAGTGTGTGGTTTTTATATAAGACGAGGATTGGAGAAAATCTACCAACTCACCCAGAGGTGTTCAGAAGCAGCAAGTGAGCCAATTCCTACTAAGAAGACCACATTCTTTTAGCAACAGAAGTTACTCCCATCTTGACCTTGCTAAGCCTAACTTCATGTTTTTTGGAAGAATTTTCAAAGTTGTGTCATTGAGCGATATTGTGAGTTCCAAAGAAGTGCCTTCTTATTTCCCAGCTGTGTAGTGCCTCAGATACCCGGGTTCCTGCCTCTTAGCAAGTATGTTATCCTAAGCAAAGTGTTTAACTCATTGCAACCTCATCTTCTTTGTCAGTGGAATGAGATAATATTCACTCTACATGCTTTATAGTAAATATCAGTAAGTCTTACTTGTTATGATTTCTGGGAGATGAGTTATAACACAGTATCAAGAGTGATTATAATCATATAAAAATCATATAAAAGAGCATATAAAAAGTCAATCTCATATGAACATGTGAAAATTGCCCTGTTCTGACTTTTTTCTAGTTCCCTGTCTAGAACTTGTAAAGCTAATTACTCTTGCCTTTACTTCTCCTTCACATCTCCTATTCATGACTTTCTTTCCCCTTAGAGACAAGAGTTATGCAATTTGGGAGTCTTTTAGATAGACGCATGAAGGGGTACTCCAATTGCCTCACCCTGCATCCCTGTTCAGCATGGAAGAATCCAGAGTGGTCTGCATGCCATTCCCCATTGGCAATTTGGGTAACCTCTTCAGAGGATGGCATGATAAGAATAGGAGGTAGGAATTGGCTAGGCAGTTAGGGTAAAAAGACCCCAAGGAAAGTAGCCAGTTTCTTGGCTAAAAGTCACAATGTCCTTGGGCCTGTTAGCAACATACTCTGATACAAAGTC